AAACACCATCAGAACCGCTGTGCTGGGCGAGTGAGAGCCGCCTTCCTGAGTACGTAGCACATAAGGTAAAACAGGCAAAGGCTCAGGTGACAGCTGGCTGTCAGGACGCAGCTCATCCCAGGCCCCCACGGCCACAGGGAAACCAGTCACTAGGAGCAAAGGCTTTGTTCTCACAAGGCTAAGTTGCTCCTGGGCACATAACCGGAAGCCATCTCAACACTTAAATGTGAATGTGCTTGCAAAGACCAAACTACAGGGCCACTCGGGCACAGGCTGGGAAGTTACCAGCAGGATCCTTGGAGAACCCAAAGGGAACTGAGAAAACTAGACAGAATTCTGACTGTGCTCCCAACACTTGAGAGGTGGGGGCAGGAGAATCAGGCTTAGCTACAGAATGAGTTAGAGGTTTGTTTGGATTGCTTGAGACCATGAAGAAGAGGAAGAAAGGGAAGAAGAAATAGAGGAAGGGAAGGAGGGAGGGGAAGGGAGTGGCAGAGGGAGGGAGAGAGAGAGAAAAGGAAGGGAAAGAAGGGAATGAAAGAGAGAAAGTAGAATAGTGGGCTGGAGAGTGTAGCTCAGTGGTGCCTCCATGCAAGAAGCCCTGGGTTCCATCCTATCGCAGCATAAAACCAGGTGTGGCATCTCATCCTACAACTCCAGCATGTGGTTAGGAGGAGGATCATCTTCCCACTACACAGCAAGTTCAAGGCCAGCTTAGTCTACAGGAGGCTCTTCCTGACTCAAACAGCAAAACAAAAGCTAGACTATTATGCCAGGCATAATAGCACTTGGGAGGCAAAGGCAAGTGTGGGTCTTGGTGAGTTCGAGGCCAGCCTGGGATACAGAACGAGTTCCAAGACAGCCAGCACTGTTACATAGAGAAACTATGTCTCGAGAAAACCAAAAACCGAAACAAACAAAACTAGGCTATTAAAAAATGACACTGGCATGCCAGGCATTAGGGTACTGGGAGACAGAGGCAGGTGGATCTCTGCGAGTTCCAGGACAACCTGGTCTACACAGTGAGAGAGAGCCTGTCTCAAACAAACTCTCTCTGGACCTAAAAGGAGCAGGCCAGGCCTGGATGTAAAGAATGACAAGGGCAACTTGATGCATTGTACAGGTTCAAGGGCCTCTATGCGACAGGGAAACGCCCAGAACCACACATCCACCTGGAGGAATGTGCTGAGGCTGACAAAGGGCCACAGATGGGTTTAGAGACCGGTTTAAAGCTTATGCTATCTGCGGGGCCATTCCGTGGGACAAGTCAGCTGATTCTGTTCTCAGATTGACTAAGGCCAATGGCACTGTCTCAAAGAGCCCTCTGACGAGAGAATATTGGGTAATATTTGCCATAAATAATGTGAAACCAAACATCCCGGGTCTCATTGGTATTCAAAGTCCACGTCTGTTTGCCCTCCTTCCTGCTCAGGAGTAACTGGGGCTCCTGGCTGCCTCAGCCCAGTTTTCTGGGTCTCACAGTTCTTCCACCCCACAGCTAGGTCAAGGGTCACTGCTCGCCCCCAAGGGCTGTGTGAACTGAGAAGAGTGTGGGCTGTGGACCCGGGATTAGGCACTCCTCCGTTCCTTCCCAACCCCCATCTGCCCAGCCGAGAAGTCTTGCACCCACGCACACGCACAACACCATCCTTTGTCCCTGGCTGCTCATTGTTCCAGGACTCTTACATCATCCTTTCTCCAGAGCTAGCTCATGTCTGGCTGTGGCTTTCAACCAACCGAACCCAACAGTTCCTTCGTGACGTTACCTCAGGCGGCCACAATTCACCTTACAAGGTGTAAAGCCATCCCGTGTCCCTACTGGTCAGAGCATTCGCACCAGTGTTCCCATTGGTTGATAGCCGACCTATAGGATTGTCCTCTAGGACCTTTTGCCCCACCCCTCGGCAAAGATGCTGGAGCCACACTTGGCTTCTCCTGACTTTTCACTGGAACAGGGCCAGTTCCGGGTGCTCTTGTCCCCACCCCAATGCATTGTTCTTTGTTTACTGAGGTGTAATTCTCCTTCCTCCCTGTTACCCCGCCTTCTTCCTCCCGATTGCTCATTTTGGATGAGGTTCTGCTCATATGAAGCGATGGCCACCCATTATCTCTTGAAGCAAATCGCTTGCCCTCTGTGAGCTTCAGCTTCCCCATGTATATAACCGGGCTGCTAAAACCCACCACAAAGGAACCTGCTGTGTGTCAGCTTCTGCCTGGGAGCCAGCGCTAAGATGGTGTGTGTCCTGCTTGGACCTAGTGCTTGTGACGGGCAAAAAGCTCAGACGCAGAGTTTGGCCGGGAGAGGCAGGAGGCTGGAGCCCAGGTCTCAGAGCCCTGCATCAGACCAGGCTTGCTAAATGACCTGGCATAAGTCTCCTTCCCTCCGAAGGCTCAGTTAATGACAATTGCACTAGAAGAGCACTTCACAATCGAGGAGAGTGGGAGGAGACACTATCTTTGGGGGAACATTTTCCCAGAATCCCACACCTATTGAATGTGAGATTTCTGAGCAAGGCCTGGGCATGGTGGCACACACCTTCAATCCCAGCACTCAAGAGGCAGAGGTGGGAAGGTCTCGAGTTCAAGGTCAGCCAGGTTTACCTACAGAGTTCCAAGACAGCCTGGACACTGTCTCAAAATAAGTAAATAAGTAAATAAATAAATAAAATTCAAGTCCTAGATACTGAGGGTATAGTCGCTCAGTTGGTAGAGTGATTGATTACCTAGCATACTGAAGGCCCTGGGTTCAGTCTCCAGCCTGACATAAAACAGGGTTGATGGTACATGTTGTAATCCCAGCATTCAGGAGGCAGGGGCAGGAGCATGAGGGCCTACGTGTCACAGCCCCATGTCCTGAACAAGCCTTGCTGGTGGCCAGGATTGCACATGGGTTAGAACAACCATTTCCTCCTAGAAAGTGTTGCTTGGCAAGGCTTCCTCAGGGAGACAGTGTAACCCAGCATCTTTCTAACAGGTGGCTGTAGGCTGCTAACTGTAAAGAACCTCTGTAGCTAAACTGAGAAATGGCACCCCCTCCCAGGAACAAGGACTACAAAATCTTGTGCTAGAGCGGGGGTGGGAGGTGGGGGGAGGGGGGGCGTCCTTGAGGGCTCTTCCATTTCTGAGCTTGGAAAGATTCCAGCAATAAATTCAGTTCCTCCAGGAGGTTCAGCCTAATATTTTTGGCTTAAAGGCCATTACCATTGTAGGAAGAGAGCCCTCAGTGTGGCTAGCATGCCTTGGGAGGAAAAAGGGAGGAAAATGCCATTGTTCAGGGAAGTAAGGTAAATGGGGTTGCAGAGGCGATGGGAAGGGGGCAGAGGTGGAGCGGGGAGGAGGAAGTGAGGATGTAAATACCCTGGCGAGGGTGAGGAGAGGCTAAAAGAGAGCTTACACCCCTCTGGCTACCCGGCTATTGAAATGGGGAACCCAGGCCGGGGGGGTGGCAGTGCACGTCTTTAATCCCAGCACCCAGGAGGCAGAGGCAGGCAGATCTCCGAGAGTCTGAGGCCAGCCTGGTCTACAGAGTGAGTTCCAGGACAGCCAGGGCTGTCTCAATAAATAAATAAATAAATAAATAAATAAATAAATAAGGAGCCCAGGAGTCTCCTTAGGCATCTCATGCTGGAAGAAGGAAAAGACGGAAGCGGAGTGTGGTGGTGCACACCTTTGTTCCCAGAACTCCAGAGGAGAGACAGGCCTGGTTTACATAGCTAGTTCTAGGCCAACCAGGGCTACATAGGGAGACCCCATCTCAAACAAAACAAAAAACTAAAATGGACTGGTAACACAGCTCGGCAGGTGAAGGTGCTTGCTGTACAAGCCCGGTAATGTGAGTTCAATCCCTGGAACTCACATAAAAATGGTAGGAGAAAGCCAATTCCCAAAAGTTTGTGTTCTCACCACCACACATAGAAGCCCATAGCCCACTCTCTGTGTGGGTACGAGAAGCACCCTGTGGGGGCACTGGCCTGTACTGACCTTTGCCTCCCTGGCCTTCTGGAAGGAGGGGGTGTTTTTCTACTTGGTGACAGACAGCACCCAGCCTAAGTCATTTTCAGGAATGCCTGAAATTCCACTATCAGTGATTCATCCTCTCTGTTAGGCAACTGCTCTGGGGATACTCTTTCCCTTCCCCGGCACTGTTAGAACTAAGGATGGGCTGAGCATGGTGACCTACACTTGTACTTCCAGAATTCCAGAGGATGAACTGAAGGATCACAAGCTCAAGGTCAGCCTGGGACACATAAGACCCCCATCTCAAAAACAAAAGAATAGGGCTGGCCAGAGAGATGGCTCACTTTGTAAAGCCGCAAGCATGCTGAACGAATTTTAATTCATCCATAGATTCTATGGTAGGAAGAGAGAATTGATTCCTAGATTCATTCACACAGGCGGGCAGACAGGAGCTAGTTCCAGGACAGCCTCCAAAACAATACAGAGAAACCCTGTCTTGAAAAACAAAACAAAACAAAAAAAAGAAAAAAGAAAGAAAGAAAGAAAAGAAAGACCCACTTTGCCAGGCACAGTGATGCAAGCCTCTAATCTCAGCACCCTTAGAGGCAGAGGCAGGTGGATTTCTGAGTTCAAGGCCAGCCTGGTCTACAGAGCAGTTCCAGGACGTCCAAGGCTACACAGAGAAACCCTGGAGAGAGAGAGAGAGAGAGAGAGAGAGAGAGAGAGAGAGAGAGAGAGAGAGAGAGAGAGAGAGAGAGAGAGATACTTTCCTGAGAAGAGAGTGAAGACAACTGAAGAGTCCCAGGGATGTGAAGCAGCAGAGCCTGGGCTTGCCAATTCTCAACTCCGGCCTCCCAGCCAGGCTGCCGCCACCCGGTACAGTGCCAGCTACAGCAGGCAGGTGCATGTGAGGTAGGGATGTGTGGGAGGATCCACAGGTCTAGAAGCAGAACCATGTTTGAATCCCTGATCTATCAACATAGTCCTGAGACTCTAGCTATCTGTAATGTAAAACAAAGCAAGATTCCAGGGACACTGTTGAGTAGCTCACGGGGAGGATTTTGGCTTTAATGGCCCCGCCATGACTGAATCCCTTTGTGCAGTTAACTACCTGGGCAACAGTTGCCCCAGGGATAAGGATAACACTGGCCTTCTATGGCTGATATGAGGGCCAAATGGGATATGAAGTTCTTGGCACGGTACCCAGACATTCAGTAAGTCTTCTATAAACAGTACCTAGGTGTTGTGACGCCATCATGGCTGGCTCAGCCTGGAAGACCCTGTCAAGACTATCAAGAAACAACAAGTCCTTGGCTCCTCTTCTCACCACCCGCCTCAGGGCCTCAGACCCTTCCCGGGATGCCCCGGGCCTCGGTTGCTCCCACCAGGCCTCTACGGTAAACTGGGCCTGAGGAGCGTGGTTCTGACCTCTTCTTTCAGCTTAGTGAGAGCCTGAGAGATCCCAGAGCTCAGTCTCAGGCCTCCTCCAAAGCAGCAAAGATTCCGGGCATGAGGCTGGCCCCTCCTTCCACTCGTCCCTCAGACAGGTTGAATCGAGGATGCCGCCTATCCAAGAGTGCAGAACCTCCTGTAGCAGCCCACGCTTCTCCAGCCTCCTCTCTCCTCCCAGCCAAGCCTGGCCTAGGACCTCTGCCGGCATCTGCAAAAGAGCCACGTGTGCTTGGCGCAGATCCACTGCCGCTCCTGGGCGGCTCTCACAATGGCTCCATTCAGAGTGGAGCTGGCCGGTGGGGCTGGGGTGCGAGTTCAGACACGGAAGAAGGGGCTGCCAAAGATGGGAGAGTGGTGGTGGCAGGCCTCAGCACATGTGGGAGTGGCCGCCTCACAGCTGGGGCCACCAAGCTTGGGCTCCCAGGGGCCCAGTGAGGGTAAGTGTGGGGGCAGACAGAGGGGGGGATTACTCATGGGTCCTCGCCCATGCTCTCGCTGGCATCTGCAGGCCCCTAGCCAGGAATGACGTGGGCTCGGTTTTCGAAGCAATCCTTGCTGTAACAGCTGGGGCCTCTGTGCCTTTTCTCCCTGCAACTGCCTCTGCCTCATCATCTCTCCAAGCTGCTCAGCACTCACTGGCTTCCCACCGACCTCACCTCAGGGTCCAGACTACCTCCCACCACCTCACCCCCTATTCCCTCACCCACCCTGGCCTCCCATCAGCTTTCCCAGCTGAGCTTCAAACTCTTACTCTCATAGTAAAGAAAGACACAAGACACCGACCGCCCTGACCAAGCAGTGTTCCTCCCGTTCCCAGACCTTCCATTCGGTGATTGTTTCTGGCAGTCACATTACCTGCATCAGTCCAACGCTATTCCATCCACCAGCCTGGGCATAGAACTCCAGAGAGGGTCTGAGGAGATGGCTCTGTTGGTAAAAGCTTTGCCTTGCAAGCGCAGGACCAGAGTTCCAGCCCCAGAACCAGATGTGGCTGGTGGCATACATTTGTGATTCTAGTGCTGAGAGAGGTGGGCACTGGAGGGTTCCTGGTGCTTGCCAATCCAGCCCATTGGCTAGCTCCAGGCCAATCAGAGGCCTTATTTCAAAAAACAAGTTGGGCCGCCAGGCATTGGTGGAGCACGCCTTTAATCCCAGCACTCGGGAGACAGAGGCAGGCGGATCTCTGTGGGTTCAAGGCCAGCTTGGTCTACAGAGCGAGCTCCAGGACAGCCTCCAAAACCATACAGAGAAACCCTGTCTCGAAAAAAAAACCAAAAAAAAAAAAAAAAACCAAAATCGTGTGGTCACCATGTGACTAGGGAGAGTCAGGAAGGGTAAGGGTATTCTTAAAAACAAGCCAAAGTCACGGGTTGGGGAAGGTCAGTTTCCAGGGAAACAGAGAGCAACTCAGTTCTCACAATGAATAGAAACCTTATTTTTCAAAATACAGCATAATGGTTCCTGCCTTCAAAATAGAGTCAGGCAGGTTCCTAGGCAACCATGCCTGGCAGGATCTTTGTTTGTTGTTTGTTTATTTGTTATTTGCTTGTGAAGGATGATCTCAGATTCATTATGTAGCACAGACTGGTCTTGAACCCCTTGATTGCCTCAGCCTCTCAAGTCCTGGGATTTCCAGTGTGAGCCACATTGAGCTGCAGAACAATTTGTTGCACGCCTACCTCTGTCCCGGAGTTCCCCGTGGTGCTGCTGTGTAGAAGGGTCCGGTTTGTTGAGGCTATTCAGGAAACTATTCAAATGAACTGAATTGCTGCCCAACACGGTGGATTCCTCGATTGGTGTTGGCACAACTCTGAAATCGGCACACCCATGTCCTGCAACAGTGGTGACAGGCCTCTTCCAGCTAAAGATGCCACTTCCTCTTCTGTGAGCCCAAGAACTGGACTTGCATAGATCCAGCTGCTATGAGCAGAACTGAGTTCAAGTCCTGGGGCTTCCAGGTCCTGCAGGTCATAGACCTGTCCTTGACCTTGAATGGCCTTGTATTGTAAATGGGAGGCATTACTCCCTTGCTTCTCCATGCTATGAGTGAGGTGTGGGCGTTCCTGTTGTCTTCATACTAGAGAGGAGGAAGCTGAAACCAGGAGCTGATGGAAGGTACTCTAGAACCTTCTTCTGGTCTCTTGTGACTTTAGCCCTCCCCTCATCGTGGAGATCACGCTGGCAGGGAGCTTGCTGTCATCACCAATGGGTTTGAAGATGGCTGTAGTGGATTGCCAGAGAGAACAGCAATAGAGGGTCTGCCTGGTGGGAGGGGCCCAGGCTAGCCCAGGACTGTATCTGTGCCTTCTTGTTTAGTGAAGAAACTGCTACAATGTACCATGTGTCCAGGCTGAGCTTCAGACTTCTATATTCTCTTCCCAGAGCACCACGGAAGTGATGGAGGAGGGTAGCACAGGCTCCGATAAGGCCAGGAAGCCCTCTGGGAACTAAGAGGCCTGGGGTGACAGGCAAGGCTGCTCTGCTACCTTCTGAAGGTGAGACAGGGAAATCACATCGCCCTGGGTGACTAATCATCCCCTGTGAAGTGGGGACCCTACTGTCACCTCCTTCTCCTGGTGGGAGGTTAATGAAGATGCTGTGGATTGCAGGGTACCCACTGTGGGTCCTCAGCACGTGACAGCTAAGTTTAAGTCTCACTCTGCTGTTTGCACAACCTGGTTGCAATGGTGTGGTCCTGGCTGGGATGACAAGAAAGTTATCTCAGCCGGGCGTTGGTGGCTCACGCCTTTGACCCCAGCACTCGGGAGGCAGAGGCAGGTGGATCTCTGTGAGTTCGAGACCACCCTGGTCTACAAGAGCTAGTTCTAGGACAGCCTCCAAAGTCACAGAGAAACCCTGTCTCTAACCCCCCCAAAAAAGAAAAAGAACATTATCTCACCTTTCTCTGCACCTTCCTTACTCAGAAACTGAAGGCAATCATTAAAAAAAAAGCCAAAACGAGAGTGTGCACAGAGAACGTGTTCCTGGATGGCACTTGCTGGTTGCCAGCTGTAAGACTTGGTCAGCTATTTACCCTTCCTCGGACCTCATTCTCCCTGTGCTGTAGATGTCTCTGTAGGTGACACTAGCTAACTCTGTTCTTTGCTTTAGGAACAGCTCCTGTGTCAGCCTTGTAAACTGCTTGTCCCCAGCAGTTGGCTCTGCCTTGCACATGATTGACCGGAAGTGGGTCTCGACAAAATGTCTGACCTTCCTTCTCTCTCTCTCTCTCTCCACTTCCTTCCTTCCTTTTCTCATTTTTTTGTGACAAGAGTCTCCTAAAGCAGGCGTTGGTGGCACACAACTTTAATCACAGCACTCGGGAGGCAGAGGCAGGCGGATCTCTGTGAGTTCCAGGCCAGCCTGGTCTACAGAGCAAGTTCCAGGACAGCCTCCAAAATGATATAGAGAAGCCCTGTCTCGGAAAAAAAAAATTTAAAAAAAGACAACGACAAAAAAAAAAAAAAAAAAAAAAAGCCCTGACTATCTGGACCCCCAGTGTCTCCTACATCAGGAGCACAGGCCCGTGCCTGCTGATGTCAGCATATGCACTCCTGGCACTCTGGAGCAACTGAGTTACTTCTTTATAAATGAGACATATGGGGTGCAGAGCTTAACAAAAATGTCATGCCTGTTTGCCAAGCATGGTGTTAAACTATTGTAATCTCAAGATTGAGATATTAAGACAAAAGGATTCAGAGCGTGAAGCCAGCTTGGTTCTCCATAGCAGGTTCTAGGCCAGCCAGGGCTACTGTGCCAGAAAAAAACGGAAGAGGAATGTGCCTGGAGACTTTTTCCAACCCAGATCACCCATTCCCAGAGGTCACCCTTGGACTTTCTGTGGTTCTGTTCCCTCTTTGAGAGTTGGGGTGTACTGTGTACCCAGATATCCTCTGGTACTGATCGCCTGTCCTCTGAAACAGGACCTCCATTTCTGCTATGGGATTCAGGGAGCCTAGCCATGAGTCCAGCACACATGAGACAGCTTCCTGACACCTGTGTCCCTTGCAGGTCTAGGTCTGGTGGCCATCACAGATCATATCCTGTTGTTCTTCAGAGTCTAGCAGAGAGGAGGCCAGGAACAGGCTGGAAGGCCTGACTCAGAGGTTGATGCCTTTGGGGCTTGGGGTGCCCTACAGGAAAGGCAGGGGTGACTGGATGCTCCCTGGAGTCTGTCTGAGCCCCTAAGCCACAGACCCTTCCAGCTGGGAGCCTCAGGGTGCTTGTAGACTACTGGGAAAAGGACCATATCTAGGCTACAGCATGCCTCCAGGGAGGACAGGGTCTCTGTAAGGCCAAACACATCAGCCATCTTGCCTGGGAAGGTCCCTGTCTCTTCACCGATGAATAGATACCTGGATGACTAGATACCTGGAGGGAAGGCCCCATCCCAACTGATGACCGTGGTCATGTGAGAGTGGGTGTTGTTCTCTTGCCTAAGTTTCAAGGCCCAATGGAACATGAACCAAGAGATTCATTAACCATGGAGTTTACTAAAGGGGGATGGGGGGGGGGAGAGAGAGAGATGAAAGGAGAGAGAGAGAGAGAGAGAGAGGGTGAAGGGGGAGAGAGGAGGGGGCAAGAGGAGAGGGAGGGAGCACGTGGAGGTGCTCGCTTAAAAGGGGGAACCTTGCACATGCGTACTGAGTCTTTATGCAGCTTCCATAACGAGTGACGAGTGACATAGCCATGACATGGTCACTCTGCTATGCACGTACAGCCCATTGTCAGGGGGCGGGGCCAGCACAATGCTGAGGTTCCAACAATGGGAAGGACAGATAGGCTCCTAGCTGAGGTCAAGGCTTCTAGAAAGATTAGCAGGGCAAGTGGCCCAGGTGACTGATGAGGTCACCAACAACCCCTGCCCATCACATCTCCCAGGCTTCTCAAAGCAGGCTAGCACAGAGCCTCCAGCCATGTGTGCTACCTAGCTGGCTTCTTGGCTGGATAATACGGGGCTGACACACCTCGGCCTGTGCGGCCCTAGGTTATGTCACAGACTCCAGGCTCAGTCTTCTTGCCAGTAAAATAGAACTGGCTGATTTTGTATTCTTCTCTTCCTTTTCTCTCTCTCCCTCTCTCTCCCTCTCTCTCTCTCCCTCCCTCCCTCTCTCTCTCTCTCTCTCTCTCTCTCTCTCTCTCTCTCTCTCAGTTTCTTTGGGTTTTGGAGACAGGGTTTATCTGCATAGCCCTGGCTGTCCTGGAACTGTTCTGTAGAGCAGGCTGTCCTGGAACTCAGAGATCCACCTGCTTCTGCCTCCCAAGTGCTGGGAACTAAAGGTGTGTGCCAGCACTGCCCCGCTTTTGTATTGTTTTCTATGGCAGGGTCTTGTATAGATTAAGTTGCCTTGAACTCTCCCTTGAACTCTCCAAGATGGCCTTGAACCTCAGATCCTCCTACTTGTACATACTCATATGCATGCAACACCAACCCTGGTTCGGGGTATTCTGTTTTAAAGATTTATTTCTTTTGTTTTTATGTATATGAGTATGTTGTCTGCATGTGTATATGTCACCATGAGTATGTCTGGTGACCATGGGGGTCAGAAGAGGGCACCAGATGCTAGGAACTGGAGTCATAGATGGTTGTGAGCTGTCATGTGGGTGCTGGGAATTGAACTTGGGTCCTCTGGAGGAACAGCCAGTGCTCCTAACCTCTGAGCCATCTTTCCAGTATTCTGTTTTAATTTTTGCTAGGGCTGGAGGACAAGGTGCAGTTTTCAGATTCGAAAAAATAAACAGGGAAGTTTACTACCTAGTTCACACAGTGAGTAGCTGAGATTGAAAATCTTAAGTTCCTCCCAAGAATTCAATAGAAAGGGTGTCACAAGTCACATCTCTCAAAGCAGGCAGTCATGGGAAATATGTGCCCATGAAACCCCCAGGACAGGCCCTGGTGTGTGGGAAACACTTCACAAATTCAGGGGGAAGAGCTGGAGAGATGGCTCAGCAGTTAAGAGCACTTTCTGTTCTTCCAGAGGTCCCAGGTTCAATTCTCAGAACCCACATGGCAGCTCACAAACATCTGTAACTCCAGGGCCAGGGAATCCAATTTCTTCTGGTCTCTGAAGGCCTCAGGCATGCACACAGTACACAGCCAAAACAGCCATACACATTAAAACAAAAACAAAAGCAAATGCAGGTGTCTTAGTGTTTCTGTTGCTGTGATGAGATACCATGACCACAGAAACTCTTATAAGAGAAAACATTTAATTGGAGCTGGCTTACAGTCCATCATTGTCTTAGTGGGAAGCATGGAGGCATGCAGACAGACAGGCACTGGAGAGGTCCACATTTAGATCAGCAGGCAGCAGGAAGAGAGTGACACTGGGCCTGGCTTATACATTTGAAACTTCAAGGCAGGCCCCCCAGTGACACACTTCCTCCAACAAAGCCACACTACCTAACAGTGCCACTTTCTATGGGCCTATGGGGACCATTTTCTTTTCTTTTTCTTTTGTTTTTCAAGATAGGGTTTCATTTGCTGTAGCTTTGGGGGCTGTCTTGGCCTAACTCTGCCTCCAAGTGTTGGAATTAAAGGCAAGTGCCACCACTGCCCTGCAATGGGGGCATTTTCATTCAAACCACCATAGCAGGTAAAGACATGAACACCCAGCTCAAGTGTTTTGTCACTAAGAGCAAGACTGAGGAACGGCTGGAGAAATGGCTAAAAAGGGAAGGGCACTTACTGCCAAACTCACTGATAACAAGCTTGATCCTGGGACCCACACGGTCCCAACTCCCACACATTGTCTTCCAACATCTACATGTGAGTCATAGTATAAATGCACCCATACCCACAAAACAAATTAAAAGGCTAAGACAAGCAAGAAGGGCTAGAAAGATGGCTCAGTAGTATTTACTGCTCTTGCAGAGGTCCTGAGGTCAGTTCCTTGCACTCATGTCAGAGAGCTCACAACTGCCTACAACTCTGACTCCGGAGGTTCTGATACAGTTAACATATTTGCAAGTATAAAAATAGTAGTCCTTTATGTTCAGATAATAACCACCCAGGTTTAGAGTCTGAACACATAGGACCTTGGGAAGGGCATTATTCCTTTCCTCAGATATTTCCTGAGACTCTCAAAAGTATAAACTGTTTACAGTTACAAACAGCCTACTTTCCTGTGCCCTTGTGGCTTGGTTTCTACCTCATCCATCTTAATGCTGCCGGATGTTGCTTCAGGAACCACCCAGTGACCTCACTTAGTTTCTTAGCAATCCTTTGAAGGTAGTTACTTCAAACCCTTCCAAAATCCATTGCAAACACACTACGGGCTGGGATGCCCCCATGAGGAGCCTGGACCCACACTTGCTTGAAAGGCTCCCACTCAGATTCTCATATTCTCCCGTGGGTCTCCCTTCTTCTCAATGCCTCTCTTTCTCTTAACTCTCAAGCCAATAAGATCGCGTTAAGCCTCATATTGGCTAGTCCTGGAATTCTTTTTGGCATTAGAGCCACCAATCCTGGTTAACTATGAGTCAACGTGCCAAT